CATCTTCTGATGGCTTCTCCACGTCAGAAGCTGTGGGATGATCCAGGGTCCCGCGAAACAGAAGAAATTCCCTCTGCTGAAAAAATGAATAGCGAACACAAGACAATTAATTTAGGCATCTGGAGATCTTACACTTCAGAAAAGAGAACATTTTGTGATAAAAGGACGATAAATGGGAAGGTATTTTCCCATATCTGTATAATGTGTGCTGGAGAGATGTGAGATGTGAAATTTTAAAAATCAACCATAAATTTTTTGCATCATTCATTGGTTTTCAATGCACAATGACAAATTTTAGATAATGTTAAAATTTCCAGCCCTCTCCCTGTCTTATGAAACGATGCGTGCACATGTACAATCTGTCTTGTGTGCCTCTGCACCACCATGACAGAAACAAATGATTGCTGATGTCTGATAAAAAAGAATAAAATGAAAACAGTATTCATGATGATTTGAGAGATTTAAATAATGCTACAATCCTTAAAGTAACATACATTAAACATATTATACTGCAGTAGTAGTACTTAAAAAAATAAAAAACGACATAAGAGTGCAATTAATAAGAAGCATGTAATTTCAAATCCCTTAAAAGCACCACAACAGAAATAAACAAAAGCTGGCTTTATTAGAGTTAACTGGAAATTGATTTGTTTAAAGCCCCAAATCCTTTATGGAAGTAATGTTATAGAAACTAAGACATCCTCTCTAAAAGTCATGTTAGACATCTTTAGAAAAATCCTACTATTGCCACAGTAACAACACCTTTTAGACACTAAATAAAATTTCCTGAAAAGGGCAGACATTGAAGGTTGAACTCTAAATCAGCCATGATTCGTGGTTAAAACATAGAAAACAGAAACTGGTGTTCTAATTAGAGGAGTTACCCTATATCAGTGTAAGGCCGGCAGAGCGGAACCTCATGGAGTGCTATTGAGCCCAAGCTCCTTATTATATAATATTTATATTTAGCAAACTTGTCAAATTTCCAGATGGCATTGAATTGGGGGAGGGGAAGGGTGCAGCCTGCCTTCAGTCAGCAGCAAAGAAACTTCAAAAGGTCTGAACTATAAAATATAATAATATAATTAGAAGTAATACAACAAAATACAATTGTATATAGTATGTGCAAGCAGCAGAACATACTGTATTTTATGGCATGTTGATTCAAACACATCAATGTGTCTGTCTCGACAAGGGTTGTCAAACCCTACTTCTGTGGTCCTGGAAGGTACAAACATACTGTTTTCCAACCTGAGTGTTCAATGAAATGATTAGTTGCTATAAAGTAGTTAAATACATGGATCATGATTTTAGCTTGTTTTCTTCAGTTCACCTCTAACACACAATTGTATACAATACATTTTCTCTTCTTGTACTGTACGTATCAATAACAATGTGCTGGTTTGTGTCACACGAATCTTTATAAACCTGGCTATTTTTGTCTCTGAGTTTTACCCTTAAGGATCCTGAATGGTGTCTTTATATTACTAGCCAAAAATCTGTAGCTATATCATGACACCTGTTCTTTGCAGAACTGGATAGCGGTCAGTTGTTTATTTCTGGTGTTTCCATCTGGACATCTTTCAGAGGTTAAGATTCTGAGAAATGTTCTAAAAGGTCTTTCCCATTTTAAGTAACGTCCTTCCGGGTATAAAGGAAGGTGTAAGGGATTAACAGTTTCCTTTTTGTGCTCTTTCAAAGACACTCTTCCGGTGTGTACAGACTTAATCTGAGGTCACTTAGTATTAGTTTCTGACCTCACTGGGTCTCAGCAATAATGCCAGTTTGATCATTGAGGATAATAACTCTATAGAAGTTGTTATGGGACAAGAAGAAAATATTTTCACTAGACACTAAAAAACTGTCGGTCAGTAAGCTTCAGTACCTTGTATTTTTGCTTAATGTTAAGATTGTATCAAGGCATTCTTTCATTATACCAAACCAGCACTGGTATCATAACTGAAAACAATAAAAATCCATATTGTTTAAACATTAGCTTTCCTTCTTGAATTATTATGGTTAAGACTCCCCACTTCTTTGAGAAGTTACTTTTATTGTTTTTTTATTTTCATTTATTTGCAAAGCTTGAGAAAACTTCACAGCCATCTCTGGAAAAAAAGAAAGGATTCGTAAGCCTACTTTAGGAATTAATCAGACACTCAACGTACCCTCAGTAACAAACAGGTTTTCCACTGTGTAATAGCCAGAAGCCTTTGGCAACCAACAACATAACATTGACTGTTTTTATGATTTGCAACTGGTAAGTGGGTGAAAGGCGTTACGGAATCCAGGCCACAGACTGACAAATGTACTAAAATAGTATTTCTAAAGAGCAGTGGGTATGCTTTATAAACAAAACAAACACAAAACAACCAAGTCAATACTATCGTCTTTATTTCCTTTATAGTTTATCTTGGTGATTTTTATTTAGTTTTGCAGCTGTGCAAACTTTCCCTTCGGCATGTGGTGTATTTGCTTATCTGTCCACTGGATGGCAGGCTTTCTCTTGAGTTTGTATTTACTTAGCTGTCAGAAATGAAACGAGAGAAATTCTTTCCAACACGTAGCATGAATTCCCACTGGAGTAAAGTATAATTTACTTGGATCAGCTGAAACAATTGACCAAAACGTGACTCATCGAATAAAACCAGACACGCCGGGTATTATTTCTGTAAATATACATTCATTGGAAAACACTAGATTAGTGTAATCTTATGGAAGTCTTTACTCTCGAACATAGCTGTTTCCAGTTTGGTATCTTAGAAATACGGTTTCATATACGAAGTTTTTATTTGAACAACCCTAGAACATTTTCTGATTTTAAAAAATAATGATCTTAGCCTTGTTGCTAAATTGCACAATATGTCTTTGAGTAGAAAGTTAGTAGGCTGTAAATGTTTTGGACTCATCCCATTTTGAGACACTAATAACCCTAATTACTTCAAATAATTAATGTGATCTATCTCCATGATTACCAGGCTAGCACCAAACAGATTAGGTGTAATTTCCTAGGTCTGATTAATATATGCTACTAGTTTTCTCATTCTGTGAATCAGATCTGGCCTAGCTTGCCACTGTATCTTCAACAAGATTTCTGACTTGCCTGTCATTATTTTTTATTCTCTCACATGAATTCTTCCCCTCATGATTCATGGAACTGCAAGCCAATGGTATTCATTTGCTGGAGTAATGTATTATTTTAGTACTGACATGTATTGTATAGCCAGTTAGAAGGTACACAGTAAATCAACTGGAGAAACGGCAGGAAATTATTTCCCCTAGTTCTGCATTGTCATCAACCTCAGCATTTAAAAACAAGCACACCAACACACAGCAACTCTGACGGCTTGCTTAAGCTTATGCCTTCTTTCGATTTTAAACATTTGCATCCGTTTTCTCCCATTTATACACCAGTGTTTATACAATCAAAAATATACAAATCAACTACCTCATTTTGGGTGTTTTTTCTAAAAATGTTTTTCTTTTGTCAGGATCACAGTGCCACACCTCTGTACGGGCCCACCTTTGCCACAGTCTTTTCTTCAGGAAAGTGGGTCATGTACAGAAGTACTGGGAAGTGCTGGGGTTGGCGATCATTGAACACGCTGAAAGCCCTGGTCCTGGTGAGAAAAGGCCGTCTTTTTCAGGTTCTGGGGCATCTGCACCGATAACCTCCGTGTGGATTCAGAGTAATGTGATGAGGAAAGTCCCATACTCACTCCCTGGCATTGATGAGGTACAGCGCTGCACCACTAATCCATTGCCTCTCACTGGATTAACTTCATCAACCTCTACAGAGTGTTTTATACACTATGTAGAGTTGACACTTAAAATAAGAGCTACGGCTGGCATCTCTAGGAGGGAATTGGGCAGCTATGTCACCACGCCGTGGTGGTACAGTATGTGGCTTCTGCAGGCTTGGCATTCATCCCCTAACCTGAGTGGTACAGTAGTCTAACATAAAGGTAAATGGTGCTCTAAGACATGTTACCTGGAATGATCCAAAGCCTTTGATGTCTTTGAATGCTTCTGGCAGACTGGACAACCTACACCCTCAACATCGGCACTGGGCTGTGATATTAGACTCATCCCCTCAACTGTATTGCTCTCTTTTGGTGCGCTTTATGAGGTGAAGCTGTGCCATTGCTGTGAACAGCTGTAGGAGAGATATGATGTAGGGGGTGAGTCCACCACAGATTCTGTTGAAGAATCATTGGGAATCAACATGTAGGAGATGACACAACGACAGTGTCTCAACCTGACTTAGGGACCGAGGTCACCCCTTATATAGGGGGATTTCATTCCATGGACCAGATTAGCCCTTGGGGGGTCTTGTAGGGTTCATGGCCACAGGAGAAGGACCTTACACATACTGTAGGTATGCAAGGTGCAGAATGTTGGTGATCCAGGCTGTGCATGCCGTGCCAGGTACTGGCCATAAACACATGGCATTGATACCTCTAGATTCGATACTCATTCTGTGCCAGGGTCTGGCACAGGACACAGACACTTCACCTGCAAATAACAGAATCGTGGTGAAAATATTGTGAGTGTTTTTCTTGTGTTTCTGTCCTGTAGTGCCCCCTGTGGTGTTTAGCCTGCTAAGTAAAAGAACCCAAAACCCACCAGCATTTTCACTCAAGTAACCTCAATGTTTACATTTTATAGGCAACACAATTAGCTGGTGTAATGCTTTGCAGATCGTATACAGTTGTTGAAATAATATATGATAAAGCAGCAAGAATGCTTCTGACTTGTTACTTCCATCACCTTGAAAAGAGTCAACACACACAATAAAAGTACAGATCGTAGTTCTTTAGAGAAGTCCACTTCAATGGGCTTTAGTTATAATAAACGAATATTTCTGCGAAATGTTTAACATGGGGTGACAAATTTAAAAAAAAATAAACATTCAGCGTTTGGTAAAACCAGTGGAATTGTTTCGGCTCCCTCACTTGTGGAATGTTTACCTCAAGGGTGATTTGCAAACTTGCTCCTCCTCTTTAATTACCAGACTACAAGGAAGAGGAAAGCGGATTTTTTTTCTTACAAGAACACGTTTTCGATTTTATGACGTGTTGAAAGAATTGTATTTCTATGATATGCAATTGTTTCTAAGAACACAAAACTGTATCAAGTCACTTTTAACCACGCTTTGAGAGAAAAAGGTAGGAAAAGTTGTTTTGCTGATTTATTGTAATTATCATCTGTAGGCTAAAAAGCGTGTGGGAAGCTCGGTCCTGGTATTCCATTGGTTTCTTTCAATTTCGTATGCTATCTGGATAAACTAGGCTCCGTGGCGTTTGTTTCTGCGTTTTACACAGGCGTCAACGTGAAAGGAGACATGCAAAACATGTCTTCCCAAGTATGAAAAGTGCATTATGTACGCTCTTTCTACAGTATTTTGAAAGTGCAGAATCTAGGTGTGTATTGTGTTCGTGTTTAAAACAGTTAATGATTTTTGTGTCCTGACGGATACTTTTGCCAAAGTTAGGTACTGTATGTACTGCATTCGGCTAGTTTTCATTCTACATTCACAGTGTTCCTTTCCCTTTCCCCTTTTGAGGAATAATCCGAATATTGTTGACTCGTGGATATTTTCTCCTTTCTCGGCCATTAAACTCTGGCTATAAAAAGTATCCTTCTCACCTGTACCTTTCTAGAACTATCCCTGAGTTGTGTTGAAAATACTGTAGTTGAATCTCTGCTGCAAATTCACTACCGGACTGAGGTACAGTACTGTACCATATAGAGGCAGGTGTATTTGCTTTGAAATCATGTGAAAGACTTCTCTTGTACACTGAGGGCATACAAACGATTGTGTGACTTTCCATTTTGTGCACCTGAACTAATTTAGATTTGTCATAACAAATTAAGTACTATGTAAGAAAAATATTTTAGTTTTTTATATTTCTTTTTTGTTGAGATTTCACTTCGCGAGGCAACGAAATGGGACATCATGAGAGTGAATACTTTTTCCAAAGGACTGTATACAGTGTAGCTTCCATTACATAGTCATCATAGTCTGAATTCCGGTGCTGATAGTTCGTCAACAGAACAGAATAACAGGGGTATCGCACTTAAAACAGCCAGTAACTGTAGAAAACACAAGCAAAAGAACATTAGGAAGCACAGCATATTTGTGTAGACAAATGCTGCTGGTGTTATTCAGTGGCACTACAGAAAGAAAATCTGTGTATTATTTTAATAAATGTTAGCTCAGGGCACGTTTTGTGGAGTATTGAGTGACCTTATCCATCAGAGACCTCTCCAGGAATCACTCAATGTAAGTCAGTGTAGCACTCATCATTCTCTAATGAGTATTGTATGGTGTTTGTCTCTTAAGAAAATCGAATTGAATTAAATACTATATTTTACTTTGATTTCAGATACAGATGCAATAAAGCAAGAGTGTTCTTACAACATCAGTAATTCACGGGTTATTAAATAGATTTTTCTAACAAATCTCTACATTTCATAGATGATACACAAAAATTCTCTAACAAGGAAAGGCTGTGAGACATTAAGTAGATATTTTATCTTTAAACATATGTATTGTGTGCTGAATCTTATCATCGTTAGTCTATTTTGCCATTCATGTTAAGCAGCATACCTCATTCTGTTTTTGTAGCTGCTCGACAGAGTCCAGACAGGAGTTTGGCACAGCCTGTCATCAGGCAGAACGTTATCTCAAAAGAGCAGAAAATGTTACATTAAAGGAAGATCAACTTCCTTTGGTTGTGCTGTAAATTTGTAAATCTGCAGAAGTTCCCTGTGAGCTGTTTGAATATTGAACAAAGTGGTAAGCCCCCCATCTGTAGAGTGAGTGCTCAGAGTTAATAAAATGCTTATACAAACAATATTCTTTTATGTTTTTCAGGCCTACAAATACCACCAGCAAGCTAAGAGTGTGTTAACAATTGATTTGAAATAGCTAAGTACCTCCACAAATGTTTCATCAATTGTCCAGGAATTAATTGTCCTAGTAATAGCTTGATCTGGTCTTTTTGTGTGACCTTTAATGAATATAGTTAAGGAGATGGATATTCACGGTATCTAGTAATAAATAGAAGGTCATAGCTGATGATGGGGAGGGATAATGAGAGACAAGCCAGTCTCACCCAGCTGTTTTAAAATCACAAACATTACAGACTTTCCCTATAGTTAACTCTTGCACATTCTTGCGTATTTGTTGCATTCTATATGTGGACCATGTTCTAAACAACAGGCAAGAAAGCAAAACAAGAATGAGAGAAAATACGGTACTTGTCTCACATTCGCCTCATGCATTATTCGTCTATATAGGGCCATGCTCTTCAGAATTTCAATCCCCACTTCTTCTTCCTTTCATCCTTTAATTTAATCTAGACTCATTCTTCTGCTTCTGTTCCCTGGCATCCAACCCAATCCCAGGTTCCTCCCTTGGCCACCAATACTCGAGGTGCCACCTCCTTGACCACAGATGTGTGTGGCTCGGTCAGCACATGTCCTAACGTTTACACTATTTCCAGTGTCCAATTCAGCCTCGAGTTTCTTCCTCTTGGCCCCTGCTGCTCCTGATACCAGCTCCTCAGCCCTGGGCTTGTTTGGTTTCCTACCTCTGGTGCAGGTAGCAGGCATCCCACATCTATTAATGTCTGCCTTCTTCTTTAATGTAATGACCATACTCCATGTCCCTTCTGCCTGTTTCTCTATTGGTGGTGTTGGGGTTCACTCATTATTCGGGGGTTTGAGCAGTCCTGGGTACTTTGCTCTCAGCTCTTGCTGCAATCTGATTGATTCCATGCGTGTCTGGTGTCCTGCCTCTCAGTCAGCATACTGTACATCCTAAAGCTTTTAATGTGTACACTACAATAACAACAAAAAGTAGACATTTCTATACTGTGCCTGGCTATTCCTTCCTTCCATTTCTCTTTCTACATTGGTGGTTTTGGGGTTCACCTGTTCCTTTTTGGGTGTTTTGCAGGAAGAGATACTGTAACTGTGGTTTATATCCTGTTTTATTTATACTGATTTAGAATAGGGTGATGGAGTCCCATCGAATTCTAAAGCATCTTAATTTAAAGGATGTTATATTATAACTCTATGTTACATCCTGTTTTATTTAGTATGCAGATTTATCTCTTGTTGACCTTTTGGCCATTAAATAGGATTTGTTATGCTACGTAACAGTCTAGGTTTTTCTGTTTGGTCAGAAAATAAGCCTGTGTTATAAATGTGTGCTATTGTAGTTGTTAAGAGATTTTGTTTATCCCAGTGTGCCTCTGATTTATTAGTCTTTTGCCATAGCTGTGCCAGAGAGCAAAGACAAGACCTCAAGTACCACTTAAGTATACCAAATGCTTGGGTATCTTTACAGTTTGGGACATATCATTTTCATTTTGCTTATTAATTATTTGGCTTACATTTTTATAACCCATTTGTAATATTATTATATATATAAACACTCAATAAATATTTACAGAACATCTAAATCTTGGTTGTTATTATTCCTTGTGAAACTGAAGCTCTTGACTGAAGTTTGGGAGGTTTGCTCTATATACAGTAGATATCAATCTTGCACACACCTCTCTGGTATTATCATTGGAATCCTCCTGCCTCCACCCTATCTCCACCTTTGCAACTAGCCCTTGATTAACTCCTCATTCTGAATAGGCCTCATCCTTTGGCCAGGAGGCTACCTCTTAACCAAGTTAGTTGAACCAAAACCTCTTATAATTAAATCTGGTTCTTGGATGTCACTGTTCCTCATGAGCTAATTATTGCCTTTCCATCTGTACAAGGTGGCCAAGAAGTCTTGTGTTCACCTTGCAGTGTTACATGTGGAATATGAACCTATGCAAGACCAAGAAACCGGGGACAATGATTATTATTATTATGTTGAGGGCAATCTTATTATACAAGATACAGATGAAACGCATCCTGTCAGCCAAATCAACTTGATATTGTTGTCGTTCTTATTCATTCAGTTGAGCACAATTTTATATTATATTTTTATTTCTGATAATGTAGTTAACAACACATAATACTGTTTGAAGATTTAGATACAAGCAGATTACTTTTGAGACATACATACAACAATAAAATATATTTAAAAATCTGATAGCACTTCACAGGTTTCTCTTTATTAGGATGTAGAGATTTCTCAATACTGTAGCTGTTGATTAAGGGAAGTAGGAGGTATACAAAGGAATTCATGCACTAGATCCATTAAAAAAAAACATTTCTGCATCATTGTGGTGAACCAAAGATCACATTTCACATAGCTGACATACTGAGCATCAGCACCGCTCAGAAAGTTCTCACTACAACGTACTGGAAGGTTGATTCCTTGACTTCCTCTGCATTGCCAGACGTTCCATTTCACTTTTCTTAATATATTTTGCAAAGCAAATGAAATCCCAGAAGGAGCTTTTCGTGTGAAAGGAGCACATTTATATTTGTTAGATCTCAAATGTTAATTTGATGCACTGACTATTTTCAGTGTCGACGAGCCAAAAGAGAAGGCCTCTGCTGACCTCCGCAGTGACAGAATGATGGTTACTGGGGCAGACCTGGAGAAGATGGCTGAAATAGGTAAGGTACCCCCTCGTGTCCATTCTCAGCAGGAAGTGTGCAATCAGTGCTTCTCCATTGGTGCAGCTCCTGCTCACATAGTTGGCATTAGGCATGGGACATGTGGCAGGGGGGCATAGTAAATTGAATAAAATAAATTCTTTCTGAGCTACAGACTTTATCATCACTTAGACTGATGAAGCAGAAAAGCAGTGTAGACAGAGCATGCTACCTCCTACAGTACTTCACGTGGTTTGGAAAGTCTGGTCCAGAGGGAGGAGAATCAGCTAACTGGTCCATGAGCACCCCTTACACAAGCAGCCTGTTTTTCCTTACAGCAGTGTTTTCCAGTCCTTGTCCTTATCATTGTTTTTTTCTTGTTTTCATTCCAACTTTGTTCTTAACTACATTTCTTGAGCTCTTCATTGATCCAGTTGATTGATTTTTACTGCTTTCTGGTGTACATTCAAAGCTTAGTCTCACAAATAATCTCCTTCATGTGCAGAGTTTCCAGGAAATATGATGTGCAGAATTCTGTTTCAACTTGGGTGTAAAACTTGGAACTTTTAATCCCCTATATATTTATAAAAACTGTTATTGTTTATTCAATTAATGTTATGTAGACACAGGTGTGATTGACACTTTCAAACAGCCTTATAAGAAATGCCATTAGTACTGCAAGTGTTCATTGGTTAAATCCCACAAGGTCACTGAAACATTCAACCTGTGAGAAGAGAGCTGACAAAGCATCTGGCTGGATGAGCCAAATTATCAAAACCACATGCTTTCTTAATTCTTCTGTTGGAATGAAAACTGGTTCATTCTGGTTCTGAGATCTCACGAGATCAGGCTAGAATGTGGTAATTCTCTGAACAGAGATCAAGATAAAAAGATAAAACGTTGGCAGGGATTTACGAGTAGGGATGCTGAAGCAACCTAACTTTTCTGAATTAAAGAATTCCTCATCTGCTTTTGCTTTATTTTAATTTTATTTCCAATACACGACACTGTGTCCGAAGCTGACTCAACAGAAGCTGTGGTAAGCACTCTCAAAGAAGGGACCCAAGAACAGCCCAGTTCTTGACTTGGAAGAAGGCTTTCTTTCCACTGGGTTTTAACTTCGAGATTTAATTCAATATTTCAATACTTTATTGCCATGTCAACAAAGTTGACTGGAATTTGTCCCAGTGCAGCCCAGATAAAAACAACACAGACAAGATACCAGCATTCCTATGCTGACTCTAAAAGGAATGTTGGTGGCACACAAAAAGTGCACCACTGAACTAGTTCAGCTCTTTGGAGGAATAATTAGCTTTCATTTCCTCTTCTTTTTTTTAAATTGAGAGCTTAGAGATCAGAAAAGCCTGGGATAAAAGAGCATGAGATTCAGGAAGAGCCAAACACTCGGCCAAAATCATTTAGTCTGTGAGAGACTAATACTGTGTTTCCAGATATAGTCTTACCTGAGAAAGAGAAAGGTGTAGGTCTGTGGAAAATGGTGTGTTTATATCCTCAGGGACAGGGTTGGGCACCATTTTACCAAGATGCCTTTCACAGCTCATACGGAAGTGAGACGCAAGGAACTAATCTTATCTGATAATCACGGAGAGTTGAAAGGCAAAAGCTTCTGTAACAATACATGAATAACTTACCTTCAAAATGTATCACTTTTTAAATTGTGAATGAGGGGCATGCTGATTATCTGGTTAGACTGCTCCCAAACTTCCAAAGACTCCGCCCATAGAGGCTTAAAGATGTCTTAAAGTTTTTTTTTTTGCTGTTCTGCTTGTTAATTCATTCATTCTTGAAAAATAGTTGGCATCTATGTTTTGCTGCTATTGAATTTTTTTAATGTTTTAATCTGCAAAAAATAGGTTTACTTCATAATTTGTAAATTAGATTTTCAGCAATTGAGGTGTTATAGACATGTTTCTTTGAAATTTTACACATTATTACTTCTCAGTTATCTTAGTATATTTGGGGTTCTGTGTTCTTATATGTTATGACATTCTCCATTTTAAGACAATATATTAATATGAACATACTTGTCTCTCAGGTGCATTTGCAAAAATGCATGTAGAGTGAACCAGATTAGAGACAGCAAGAGTAAAAGTGTTTGAGTCAGTGATGCAATCTGGTCATTGCAGCAGGCTTCTTTCAGTTCTGCTGAAAGACATACTTTTATAACCACAAATCAATCCAAACCAATTATTGCATTCTGTACAAATTTCTGTCTTGAGAATTGTATTTACTAAAAAGCGAAACGGATCGCACTACTGTAAATTTCTTACCTTGCCTTCCTTGCTGGCTTTATGAGATAAACATCCTAAACACAAAATATGCAACCTTTCCCTTTTTTCATGTACTTTCATCACAGCAAAAATGGGTTTTGGTATCCTACCCAGGAGTTTGAAGACCAAATGGAGATGATAAATTAGAGTTCCTTAGCTGTTGGATGACCTGTGGCATTTTGAACAGGAATTACTTTCAATTACTGTTTGTAACCTTAGATTGAAGGTACAGTACTATAATTGTTTTTATATTCCTTTGTCCTCCTGAAGTTATTAGGATAGATTGTATTCTTAAATTCTAAATTAATGGAAGGGGAAGTGATTGCATATTCAATTTTTTAATCTACAGTATAAGATCTGCAGGAGACGTGCTGTTGACATGTTTTGTTTGTTTGTGTTCACAATCCGTTTGAACACCAACACTCCTGTGTTTTCCACTTGAAGAAAGTCTGGTCTCACCACATAGACTTAAAGATGGGATTTACAGTGGGATACCACCTCCATAATGCCATTATTACTCAAGACTTGACACTAAGTAGAAAGACAAGATCACAAAGGACATGGCATGTCCATTCTCCTATGTTTCCCAATTATAATCTCATAATTAATTCAATTCGTTATACAGAAAAATCAATTTCCTAAAGGAACAGAATGGTTAAAATACCCATCTCGAATCTGGTGTTAAATCTACATAAGGACCTCCCCCCTGGATCTGTCTCTTCTCCTCTTCCCTTGTCTTGCTGGCTGTCCCTTTCTAACCCCTTTGTCTGTTCCTGGACTGTTAGTCACTGGTAATGATTCAACAAGAACTTAATTAACCAAGGTAAACCAGATGTTTTCTTTTGTCAATGTGTCTCAGACCCAAAACAACTCAAGAACATTTCAGTTCCTTTCTTGCTTTGAAGCTCCAGAGAATCGAAAATGTTGACAGTAGCTAGATGTTTGATTATTGTCCCTAGATTCTTGTGGCACCGCAAAAGTTACTTCCAACATCTGTAATGGTAGGGAATGGTTAATTTTGTACTTTTAAATTGTGTTTTTTGAAAAAAAAAATGTTTGGAAATGAAGTAAAGCTTTTCCAATTATACTGTTTTTATTTGAACCTAGATTAAAAGTTTGTTTTGTATATACAAGTGCTGAATTCTAGGCCCCAGAGGGTTCTATCTGTGGGCCTCAGTTACTGAGACAATATAATCATTTCCAATAGGACATATTTAACATTGTCCTTGTCTTATGCTGTTCATTGTATGAAAGATAAGGGGGATTCGAGATACACTACCTATAAATCACTTTGAAGCCTGGAAATACATTTTTTTTGTGTGCAATCAATCAAATTAGAACCAAACAAGAGATGAGGAAGAGCAAATATCAGTGTGCTCGTTGTACCTGAAGGACAGTTTGATACTTCAGGTTTGTGGCCTTTTCTGTCTCTGAAAAATGTGACGTTATAAAAAAATCTTACTGTTGTAAAGTTTCTCTTACTGCTTCTCAGGCTGCCAAAATTAGTTTTAAAGTAGAGTTCTGTTACATTTGTAACACCTTAGATCTGTGAAAAGAACACTAGGTTTGCAATTAAATATCAGCAGTGTTCTTGTGATTCATCCATATTAATTTACCTGAGGTACATTAATATTGATGAATATATGACATTTTTGCAGGCCCTGTACCCAGCTGGAATTAATTTGAGATTTGTAGCATTTTGACTGACTCCTCACTCCTATAAATAACTTCTCTGACTACTGGTGATGACTGATTTTGGATGAGGAAGTGAGTCACTGAAAAAAAAGCATTCTCAGAACAAAATGTTTTATATGTTTTCTGAACTGTTCTATGAGAACAATTGTTGCAAGGAAAAAACAGGTGGCATGTAAAGATAAAGGCTACTGATACTAATAACTGTTTCTTGGAGGCTGATAACAGTGTATTGTTATCAAATCCAAACAGGAATAGGAATAGGCCAACATTCTTTCAGCTTTGGGTCACAGCCCATTTTTCACAAGCTGTGATTTTGGAAACACAAATAACACCACTCTCCAGTTCTTCCAATCAAATCTCACCTAGACTTACAATCTAAATCTTTATGTACATACCGTATATTAATGTCCCCTCTAAGCTGTGCGTGTGCGCGCACACCCACACAGGTTATGATATCAGCGCACACAGGAAATTGAACTCCGCACAAAAAATTAAATAAAAAAAAATTCTAATAATAAAACAAACACGGTCGTTAATTGAAAAATGCTCATTTGACCACATGAGACTGGCTGCGAGAGGCCCAACTTGGCTGTGTGCATTATTATTGCTACTCGATAACCGATATTTATGCTCTCGCAGTCTCGTAGCTCACTGTTCATGCTCGCTCGACACTCACAGTCTCTATGAATGGGCTCGTTGAATCGCTGTCCCGGTCTTATGGATCTCTATGCTTCTATGAGAATGAGTATATTAACAAAAAATAATTTCAGGTTGACAATTTTACATGCACTCAATTTAGCGCGCATAAGTTTTTGATACTGGAGAAAAAATTGCACAACTTTTTTTTCGCGCACAGGCCATTAAAAATTCGAGGGAACATTGCTGTATGTATGCTGTTTTCTTTTGTAATTCCTTGTCTAAAAGTGTACCTTGTGTTTATAGTGTGGCTTACAGTATGTGCTCATTCCTGACAATTGCAAAAATAAATAAATCTGTAATTAGTTATTTAAGGGTTATTAAACCCAAGTTGTGTACTACCTTGAAAAAATAATAAATCACCTACATAAACCCTAGCCATAACCCTAACTCTAAAGTCCACACCTGGTCATCACAGTATCTTCAGTCTCGCCTTAAATCCTTCTTCCAGCTCTAAGCTTTTGTGCTTGTCCTATCCATAGTTCCAAACCTACCCCCAACCCTAGAGTACTGTAATACTAACCATAACCCTAGAGTCAGCCTTATCTGTATGTGTGACATTATTGTGTCATTTACTTTTGAATACTGATCTGCAGCAAGTCCCAAAATTATATCAAGGTCTGGGCTTAGATATTCAGTGAATGTAACCTTTAAACCTTCAGCCTTTTGCAAATCATTGGATAAGCATATCTTTCATGAATGCTGATGTTATGTCAGCTTGTGCTGATCTCCTCTTTCTGTTTCTTCTGTCCACAGAGTTACAGAAAGAAGAGGAAGAGCAAGAGCAACTAGGAGAGAGTCCAGGATCCATATCAGGAGCAGCGTGTGACTACAATCACCCTTACTATGATGTGGCACGACATGGGATTCTGCAAGTCACTGGTACATTAAAGTAAATGGCTGGACAGTAGTCAGTCATTTTAAACAAATGAAAAAATGTGCCAAACTAAGTGTTTTGCAGTAACATCTAACAGTCAGACATGACTTTGTTATTCTACCGTGTAATGATGCCTGACTGAGTTTAATCATACTGCTTGCATTTGCTTGAGTCATAGTTTTACCATCTACTGTACTGTTGTTCAAGCAAAACTGAGCTTTTTTATTTTTCTCTCTCAAATAAATGAACTGGACAAATGGGCTTAGCAGCCCAGACCCAGTCCACCGGCCATGTGTTTGACACCTCTGATCTGAGCAGTACCCAGTGAGAGACGTCTAGGGGTTTCTGTATGTTGTACATCTGGACATTGTAGATTTAACTAGATGTTGATCCAGTTTTCTTCACCAAATGATTAGTGTGCTCTTGTCATCGTATCGAAAAAACTCAGCAGCCTCTTAAAAACCTTACAATATATCATGCCTTTTAATAATAATAATAATAATAATAATAATAATAATAACCATATATAGCTTTTCTGAACACTCTACTTAAAGCACTTAATGGTTGTAGGGACTCCCCTCCACCACCACCAATGTGTAGCCCCAACAAGAATGATGTGACAGCAGCCATATTGCGCCAGTACACTCACCACACGTCAGCTGTCAGTGAGGAGAACAGAGTGATGAAGCTGCTCTTATAGATGGGGAGTATTAGGAGGCCATTATTGGTAAAGGCCAAGGGCAAATTTGGCCAGGACGCCGGGGTAACACCCCTACTCTTTTTGAGAAACGCACTAGGATTTTAATGACCACAGAGAGTCAGGACCTTGGTTTTATGTCTCATCTAAAGAATGGCATCTTTTTAGAGTATAGTGTGCCCGTCACTACACTGGAGCATTAGGACCCACACAGACCGCAGGGTGAGTGCCTCCTAATCTTGCCTTGCTTCCCTTAGCTTTTATGTGCTGACAGTTTGCCTGATTGAAAAAATTCAAAAATGAGCCCCATTGTTTGGGTTAGTGAAGTGACGCAGTTCATTTCAGATTCTTTATTCCACCCAGAGTGGAAGAGTTCAAGCAGCAGCCTGACTTGTTTCTTGGTTGAACGTGTGTTCTCTCCAGGGGATGACAATTACGGCAGGAAGCTGATTATCTTCAGCAGCTGCTGCATGCCTCCTTCCCACCAGCTCAATCACCAGAGACTCCTTGAGTAAGTAGGCTTTTTTTTTACCTGGAAGACTATTTTGTTGTTTTTGAAGAGTAAAAAATGAGTTCAAAATGTGTTCAAAAATGCTAAAGGGGTTCATGTGTGTTACCTGAATGTGTATGGCCAATGGTTACGTGAAGAAACTTTAATGTCTTCCAGAAAAAATAGAGTGTACTAGATTAACAATATGTACACAGGACTTACAATACAAACTAAAAAAAATATTTTCAGGTGCCATATAGTGAGATATAAATGATCACAGTACTATCAAAATCAAAGTGATGTAGTCATTCCAAACTAAACTGTGTATGTGAACTCAGTAAGCTGCAGGAAGACCATATGATGGCTCATTATTTTATTATTATGTTTTAAAAATACAGCTCTGAGAACTCTAAAACTAAAAACTAGTCTGGTAGTCTAATGAGAGTTTTGGAGTACTCTCAGGTTCAGTTTGTTAAAGACTTGAACAAACTTGGTTCAGAACATTACAGCATTTCATTTATCCAAGGTGAAGATGGTCAAACGTTTACCCTGCCAGGTTTAACCCTTTCTGCTCTCCCAGTGTTGGAGTCTCCTTCTCATGTCTTACAGTAATGGTAGATCCTGACTCATTACTGTTTTTACATCATCATACTGGTCAAACGCCACCTTTTATCTATACAGGAGCATACTGCCCCTCCTTTTCATGTTCAGTAGATAAGAGAGAATAAATGGTTCAAGGAGTGGAATATGAAATAGTGTGATCACTGTTTCTGGCCACCAACAGATTTTTTCAGCCACATTTTTGTATCCATTCATCCAATTAACTGGTATCAAGCTTTCTGTAAATTGTGACTTTGACTTTCCAATATGTGTCTGTCCTACATCCCTTTTCTTTATAATTGTTTTTAAGTGTCCTCCTTTTAAATTCTACACATTCTGTGCATCTGGGTTTATGTTCATTTCTGGTAAATTAACAAAGCAGAATTATACAAAATCCAATAACGTTCCATGTAGTGAAATGTTTATTTAGTCATTTATCTTTTTCAATGCAGACATTTTAAAACAGCCAAAATAAAAGAACTATGTGTGCCTTGCACTTATGTTTAAGTCTGATTTGACTTCAGGGTTTGCTTCATAGCTGTCTTGTGTTAAAGCGTATGTTTTCTTTGCTCTCTTCAAAGATACTTAAAATACACACTGGATCAGTATGTGGAGAGCGATTACACCATTGTCTACTTTCACTACGGACTCAGGAGCCGCAATAAACCCTCCCTTGCGTGGCTTCGACAGGCCTACAAGGAATTTGACAGAAAGTATGACATTTATAGCACCTCACCCCTTACAGTATTTACTCCCCCAATGCTTGAATATTTTAAGCACTGAAGTGTTTGTGTACAGTGTCTCAATTTAGTCTGCTGGCACTTCAAAGGTACACTTAAGTGCCACAGTTAATAATTTAATTAAATTTAATTTTCTTAAACGAGAGACTTTATAAATCTCTGATGTTGAGCAAAATATTTCTGCTTGCTTCTTGTTACATTTTTCCTTGCGTAGCACTAATGAAAACAAGTGCTGGAATATTTGTTACTAGTTAATGATCCCTAAAGAGATACTGAAAACATATGGGGAGGGCACAGCGTTAGCTTGGTTTATGTTTTACATTGTAGTTAAATGCTTTTTATCTGTGAAACGTAGTCATGCACCTGTATATGAAAAATACAATCTGGATTATACTGTATAAAGTAAAAAGTACACAGTGCTGTTTAGTTGAATGGCACATTGTACCAGAAGAAACGTTTTCAGAATTAGTTATTTTTGTAACTTTTGTAAATTTGAAATTTGTTAGTTCTTCGTAAATTATTTTAATATAAACCCCATTTTTTTTTGTTTTATTCGTACAGATACAAGAAAAATTTGAAAGCTCTGTATGTTGTCCATCCCACTAACTTTATCAGAATCCTATGGAACATATTTAAGCCCCTTATAAGGTATGTGCCATGCTGTTTTACCATTGGCTGAGTGCCTTGTCAGGTGAAGTTTTACATTGTAGTTGGCAAAACACTGTCGACATACAGCACCAGATTTGGGTACATCCTTTACAGAGGATAAAGTTAGGTTTGTATGTTTGTGGCAACTCTTCGTAACTATTCAGTACGTCTTTGACGGGGTAGTTCGTAACTTTGCTAAACAAAGGACACGTTACAGTACGTTACGTTGATACCTTGAAGAAACATAAGTCATCAGTACCTGACGGGTTCAGTATTAGTTTGGATCAAAGCAAGGAAATGTTAGAGATGTCTATCCAAATCATCCTTGTAGTGCTGTGTTGAGTAAGAGTTTAGCATTACAGTATCAAATACATATTGTATGGCACTGATCAGAGTTTGATACAAAATGTTTTTAGTCACTTATTCTTTAGTGCTTAAGAATAAGAAATAACGTTAATGTCAGTGTTGTTGTTAAAAGCAATGGAAGATAATTCTATAAATATTGAAATCTGCTAGGCATACACAATAACTGTCCAATGGGATTACGTTTAACAACAAACAGTCGTCACTGATGTTTTCCACAATAATACTACCACCATCAACTGAATGTGACTCTTAAGCATGCATCTCCAATAATATTTGGAAATTTATGTGTGCCAATGGGCCAAATGCAGCAAATTAGACAAAGAGTCAAGATTCAGCAAAAAAGCACCACCTATGGCAAATCTAAAATGCTACCTGCGATTAATATGGACCACAAGTGAGTCCACTGCAGCCTGGTTATATTAGTCATAGCATGGCCAAGAGAGGGGCATCAGACGATTGAGCACAATCATTCAGGAGATCACACACCCTTCAGGTGTTTCATCCCACCTTCACCTTCAGGGGACCAAAAATTGTGGGTCAGTCACTGATGCTTCAGCTAGTAACACGGCTTGTATCTAGTTCTGGTACATGTATGGGCTCTGAATGCTATAATGACTTAACTTTGTGACGTTCCCGACTGCAACATTCTCAGAGCATACATGCCATGTATGAGCACATCTAGTTTGCAAATCCAAACTAACAAGTTTTTTCATACTAGCACTGGCATTGTACATCCATATCACAAGTTCTTATATAGTAAATCATTTGAGTTGCATGCTTGAGAATTAAGGTTAAAAATATATTTTACATACATTATTAATGTTTCAGTTTTTAGCATTTAGTAGTCACAGCTTTTTTGTAGATTGTAATGCTTCTTTTGTCTAACATTAATTATCTACCCCTTTGTTTTTATTTACAGTCATAAATTTGGGAAGAAGGTTACATACGTCAACTATCTGGGTGAATTAAGAGAGCATCTTAACTACGACCAGCTTATTATTCCACCTGAAGTCATGAGGTAGAGTATTTGCTTGGATCTTGCCAGCCATCCTTCACAGTACTTTTTTTTTGGCCTGTTGCTCTTCTGAATCTATATCATATAATTAGCAAACTAGTCAGATTTGTTGATTATACTAAAATAGGCAGAGAGGCAAACAGAAACAGTGGCAACAGAAAGGTTTAGATGTCTTCAGTATCAAGAATGAAATTACATGGAAGTGCATTGAAGTGTAAGAAAAGGAGGCACTTCTTGCACCTATTATGTAGCTACTGTATATTCTGTAAGTCAAAACACCAGCTTCTTTCATGAAATTGCTGGATGAATTGAATGGCTCGGCTCAGTGACCTACTAACAAACCAAACAAGCTTGATGACCTCCTCTCAGTTCGCCTACCAGAACAACAGATCAATGGATGATGCTGTCTCCCTGGCTCTGCATACAGCCTTGGAACACCTGGACACTAAGAACTCGTATGTGAGAATGCTGTTTGTGGACTACAGTTCAGCATTCAATTCCATCATACCCAGTCAACTGGTGACAAAGCTCAGGGGATTAGGTCTGTGCAACTCTGTCTGCAACTGGCTGCTGGACTTTCTTATCGAGAGACCACAGGTGGTGCGGATAGGCAATAAAACATCAACACCACTCACCCTGAGCACTGGAACCCCACAAGGCTGCTGTCTGAGTCCAAGGTTGTACTCCCTATTTACTCACGACTCCACAGAAAGACACAGCAACAACCGCATCATTAAGTTTGCAGATGACACCACTATAATAGGACTGATCAGTGATGATGACGAGTCCACTTACAGGGATGAAGTTGTACAGCTGCTTAGGTGGTGTCATAGCAATAACCTGGACTTGAACATAAAGAAAACGAAAGAGCTAATAGTGGACTTTCGGAGACACAGGCCATACACTCACAGCCCACTCAGTATTGATGGAACGGAAGTGGAAACAGTCACCAGCTTTAGGTTTTTGGGAATTCACATCTCTAAAGATCTAACCTGGACTGTGAACTCTGACTCTATCATGAAGAAGGCTCAGCAGCGCCTTTATTTCTTGAGGTGCCTCAAGCGATGGGGGATGCCAGTACCTGTGTTGGTGAATTTCTACCGCTGCACCATCGAGAGCGTCCTCACCAACGGGATCACTGTGTGGTATGGCAACACCTCTTCACGAGAAAGAAAGGCACTGCAGAGAATGGTCAATATGGCCCAGAAGATCATCGGCTGCAGTCTCACCGAGATTAAACAGCTCTATGAGGACCGCTGCCGTGGTAGAATTCTGG